TCCGTTCGAAACTCTTCGAACCACACTATCTCAATATAAGACATGGAGTATGTATAAATAAACTGCAAACATATGTACTTTGACCGAAACATGATTGCCAGATCAAAATGGAATTGATAGAAACTGCAAAACACAGCTTTTACAGCATACCTCTAACACACTCCCACCTGCTCTTCATTGATGCAGGTTAAGTAAGTGTCGGCTGACGAGACAGAGACGAGTGGTGTTGGTCTTTGACTGACTTCATTTAGTTTATTCTACATGCTAGTAGACTTGTATTTGTTTATGCTTATTTATGACTTTGGAACTTTGAATTGGGAGATGTTCCCTTATAACCAATTTGGATGAAACTGGAATTTATGAAAACAGTGGATTTGTGATTTATGTTATTTATGTGATTTAGTTCGAGTAGCGCAACTGATTTATGTAAAAGAATTTTGAAAAATTTAAGTTGACTTTTTGAAAAGCCTTTGACTTTCGTAAAATAAAAGTGGGGCGTTACAATTTTATTATATTTTCATAATAACCATTTGATATTTAACTTATATTATTTTATAAGTTATTAATTACTTCTACACTTTAATTTATTATATATTGTTATTTATTATTTTTACTTTGAGCAAATAATACGCCTATGATTTATGAGCGCCATTAGTTCTTCATTTTAATGTAATTTTTCATTTTAATGCCCTGTAATTGATGTTTAAATAATATTTAAAATATAATAATTAAAATTGATGTGATGTGAAAGTAGGAGAGATATTATCGAAAGTGATGAGAATGATTGTTTACATCTATAATAAGTAAGAGAGTCGTTCAGTTTTCTTTTGAGTTAGATGATTGGATATGAAATAACTCAACCGACTATAACCGCTTAAGACCGGTTATAACTCATATATAATCACACCCTTAGCAATTTGTTTCTCATAATAAATATATATGTATGATCCTAGCAATTTTTTCTTATATATACTTGTATTTAACTTAAAATGTATATCATATATAATATATTTTTCTCAAATCAACTATTCAATTAGACAAATTATATGGTTCACGTGCGAAGCACGTGCACCTTACTAGTGTGAATAAATATCCCATTACACTACAGGAATATTATTGAACATCTTTTTTAGCCCCAAATAATATATTTGGCTCAGACTTTACCACTCGGTTTATCTCCTCATATTTAAGATATAACGTCTGTTAATTACTTTAAACTGATAATTTAATTAAGTAATATTTTATTTCTTAAACTAGTACCACTCAACCTCATTAATATTATCCAGAAATTAATCTACATGTAGAGTTTAGCATAATAAATGTTCTGAACTCATTTTGAGGACGTCATCAACCTGGAGCACCAGGACATGGTGTCGGTAAATAATTAACGGCAAATAATATAACCAATATTACTATACAATCACCCATTATGTCAACACAATAAACGAGTCTTACTTTTTAGCAAATCAAAGTAGTAAAGATCTAATGTACATATGCTTGTTTATCATCTTATGGACTAAGAGTACGAGCAATAACTTATGTCAAGTTTACATTTGAAGGTGTTGGCATGGGTTTGGGAGTACAAAAACTCAAATTCAGAAGAGAGGGATCCAATTGGATGTTTGTTGTGCGTGTGGAGAGGAGGGAGAAGATCTTGATCATCGGTTGTTACATTGTACTAGTGTTACGCTTTGCTGGAAATTAAGTGGTTTGGGGTGGAGCTTGTTCGAGGATAAAAAAGATAAGCTTTCAGAGATGGTGGTCTGACATTTGCACTATCAGAGAGAGAGACTTCAAAACTGCTAGGCCGAGTTTAAGTGCTTTTAATTTATGGAGAATTTGGAAGGCCAGAAATTCGTGAGTCGAGGAAAGATGGCTGGAGAAAGATATTGTGGAGGGGGCATGGGAAGAATGAAAAAAATTCACCTCAGTTTCGGGTGAGTTGGATCAGGGTTACGGGAGTATTAAAAATCCAATCACTTCTCAACTAGAAAACTTTCCAGCAAGGTAGGAAGGTAGGAAGGACATGTGTGTCTTTCTGTGAGTGCCTTGCTTTCTACTAAAGGAAAAAGTGGATTGGGTTGTGTGGCTGAGAAGGATGGTCAAGAGCTGCATAGTTGGTCTTCATATTTAGAATTTGCAGCCGACTCCGAGGAAGCCTACCTGCTGGCAGTGATGTGGAGTCTTGAGATTGCAGTGTAGCTGAAAATAGGTAACTTCAATTGTTGTATTTCTGATCAAAACCTGGCTCACCAGCCGCAGAAAAAATATGTGTTTTGCTCGAAAGTAAGTTCCATTGTTGGGGACATTTCTTTGGCTTAGTTGATTCTTCTTTTTTGTTGTAATTTTAATTTTGTTCCGGGAGCTTGCAACTCTAGTAAAAAAAAAAATGAGTAGTATAATAAGAAATCAATAGAACTTTAAGCTGACACAGAAAGTGTTCACAACTGAAGCAGAAAATGCTTACAGGAAAACACAAACCCACAAAAGTTTACAGGTTTAAGCCGATTTCAAGAAAGGGACAAATTGTCGGTGATATTCTTTTATGGAGCCGACTACATGTGCGGTAAAGGCCTCGTCTTCCGGATAATAAGCAATAGGATCAGATAGCAAAGGAGCAGGAAAATTAAGCAAACCTTCGAGAGTTGCATGCAGACAGTAAGCTGAATATGTCATGTGATATCCGCCTTCTTGGACAATTAGGACTCGCCCGCCACAATGTTTGTCTGCCAGTTCACGTATTATCAGCCCGATTTTTCTGTAGCCTTCCATCGTCAGGCATTGTCTACCATTCGGATCAAACTGAGACCAGACAAAAAAAAACAAAAAATAAAGCTGAATATTCAAATTTATTGAGTCATTAATCAATAGATTATTCTTTCCATCATTTTGAGTTTTACTTAAGAGTGGCATCCAAACATATGATGAGAGCACTCATTCATGAAATAAAATGACTAATTCTCCTTCATGAAGTAAACAAACTTGAAACAGTTCATGAGTAAGAACAATAGGACCTCACTGTCATAACATCCAATATTTAACAAGAGCATAACAACTTTGTACAAGTAGCAATAATGTTAACTTCATAAAGACAAGAAAACAACCGACTGAGAGAGGAGAAAAGAATTAAGATGACATATAGGAATTCTTGAACTTTTTTATTTTTTTTATTATTTATTTTTGCTAATGAAGAAGGGAAATTGTTAGCTTTTCTCCAATTTAGAAATTTTTCTAAAAGCCTAAATTCAATTTCTCAGAGATTTAGACATCAAAGTTCATCCAACTTACCGCACTAGAATCTTGCCCAATGACAAAAACCATCATATCGGGTCCAAATTTATCAACAGCCGGTACAACCAGTTCGTTCATGGCATATACATACCCTTTGTCCCCAGTCCCATTGGGCAAAGGCACATTCAGATTATACCCGAACCCTTCCCCTTCCCCGAGTTCGCTCATCATCCCGGTCTGCGGGTGAGAAGAGCCCCACGACCCATGATTCATATGAATCGAAACCGTGAGGACCTTATCTGACTTGTAGAAGCCCTCGGCTGTCCCATTCCCATAATGCACATCGATATCGATTATAACAGCCTTACGAACAAGGCCTGAACTGAGGGCCGATTGGACAGCAAGACCTGCATTGTTAAGGAAGCAATACCCATCAGCCTGGCTTGGCTGGGCATGGTGGCCAGGCGGGCGGACGAGTGCATACGCAATTCTGCTGTGCCCATCGAGAATGTGTCTCATTGCGGATATAGTTGTACCTGCTGCAATAAGTGCAGCGCCCCATGAACCGGGGTTAAGGAATGTTCCGGAACAGATTGTCCTTTGGTCCTGATTCTGGTCGTTTCTGTCTGCCTCGACTAGCTCGTTTATGTATTCTGAGGAATTCAGATGTAAAAAAAGTTTGTCAAATGTTAACCGGAATAAGACATCGCATTCAAGAGTTCATTCCATGCTACCTTAAGGACCACTGCCCTTAAGTAACCATGAAAAAAAAAAAAAAAAAAAAAAA